ATAGGATCCCACAAACAATATTAATAGACCCGTATGGTGAAACATGAGTGAATGACAATTAACCGTCCTAAATTGTTGAATTGTGTATGTACCTTACAATGGAGGTATTCTACGGGAATTCAGAGACCATACCGGACCTCACCGAGCTTGATTTCCACCAAGGTGTTGGATGAGGACGATCGATGAAGGCGTTGAACTACGTCGTAGAGGTTTCGGCATCTTTATCTGAGCCCTACTTATCTCTGATCTCTCCTAATCGTCTCTCTCATCGGAAAATTGAAAGATGGAAAAGTTTTCAGCTCCCATGAAATCACTGGGATGTTCGCGAGTTCGTTTTCCGCATTGAGCAGCCTAATATGGGCGGCCTCGAAAGCTTGAAACTATGGGCGGCGCGCTCATAAAACACCAAAATCAGGTGAACAGGGCGAAAACGGATCGGGTGGGGGCTATTCCACCCATAAATCTCCTATCTCATTTTATTTTATTTTTTATTATTAAATTATTAAACCCACATTATCGGACTGAATTCATAACTAAGACCATTCCATACTGACATACACCCTTTTTAAATATCTAGGATTGCCATATGCGGTGGGCAAGTCAAAGAAGGAGATTTTTGCTAATTTAAGGGAACGGGTTTAGCAAAAGCTAGCGTTTAATTATCAAAAAGAGGTAAAAAAATACTAATCAAAGTAGTGGTCCAATCAATTTTGACATATGTTATGGGATGCTTCAAGCTTCCTAAATATTTGTGTAATGATTTGGAGTCCTTAGCTTCCAATTTCTGATGGAGCCAAAAGGAAAGGGAGAGGAAAATTAATTGGGTAAAGTGGGCTAATATGTGTAAGGGTAAAAACCAAGGTAGAATGGGTTTTAGGGATTTGAGAATATTCAACATGGCGATGTTAGTCAAACAAGCATGGAGAATCCATCATGATACGGAGACTCTTCTTCATAAGGTCTTGAAAGTGAAATATTTCCCGTCAACATCATTCATGTAGGCCAAATTAGGGTACAGGCCATCATACACATGGGGGAGTATTTTAGAGGCTAGAAAAGTGATTGAAGCTGGATCGAGGTGGAGCATTGGTGATGGCTCCAAAATTAAAGTATGGCATGATAGGTGGATTTCAACACTCACTACTTTCAAAGTGGTGAGTTCTAAGCAAATGCTAGAGGAGGAGGCTACAGTTAGCCAGCTCATTGATCCCCAAACGCGAGGTGGGAAAACACAATTGATTGATGAGGTCTTTTTGGAGCATGAAACTGCATTAATTAAGCAAATTTCGTTGGGTGTTTTTCCGATGGAAAATAAATTAATATGACATTACAACAATAATAGTAGATTCTCTATAAGGAGTGCATATCATTTGGCTTATGAGGGTAATTTATTTTTGTTGGGAATGCCTACTGCAAACTCCTCATCCAATCCCGATAGTAAGTGGAAGGTGCTATGGAATCAACGAGTTCCAAGTGAAGTTAAAATTTTTGCTTGGAGAATGTTATTGGATGCTCTTCCGACAAATGAGAATTTATGTCGAAGGAGGATTCGTTCAGATTGTGTGTGCTATGTGTGTGGGGTGGAGAGTGAGTCTATTTTACACATTTTAAAGGATTGTTCTTAGGCAAAGATGTCCTGGGAAGGCAGCTCACTGAGACACATGGTTCAGCGACCTGCAACCCATATTCAACACCGATTTTGGGAGATCGCTCAGTAATTAAAGTCTCATTTATTTTCGATTTTTCTGATGCATCGTTGGTTTATTTGGAGGAATAAGAATGATACGCTATTCCAAAACATGGAAAACGATTCTGGGTTGCTTGTTCAAAAGGTAGCAGAGTATCTTGAGCAATATGAGAAGGCCTTGGAGGCGGATTTTATGCAATCAGGTATAGTAACTTCTGTTTAGTGGTCTCTCCCAAGCTCAGGTACTTTCAAGATAAATTTTGATGGAGCAGTATTTATTTCTGAAGGATATGTGGGATTGGGTGTTATTATCAGGAATGAATCTAGGTTATTTATAGCAGGCATGTCGAAGAAAATATGTGTGTTGTATGATGCGTAAACAATAGAATGGATTGCTGCAAGGGAGGCTTTGTTGTTTGCTAAGCAGATGGGGGTTGTGAGGAGATTATGTTGGAAGGGGATTCATCTAATGTGATGAAGATGATAGCCGACTCTCATGAGGATTTTTCTTTTTTGGTTTCTATTATTTCAAATATTAGGTGTCTTATTCATAATTTTAGTTATTTTTCTGTTTCTATTATCCGACGAATTGGGAACTGTGCTGCGCACAGTCTTTCTAGATGGGTAAGATGCTGTGAACAATTTCATGTGTGGGAGGATATGGCACCTGAGTTTTTAGTGCCAATTCTGTGTTCAGATTGCTGTATTTAATACAATCTATCGTTTCTGTCAAAAAAATAATAATAAAAATAAAAGAATGAAATAAGGGTAAAAAAAAAACAAACCAAAACAAGAAAAAAAAAAACCAAACAAATATTATAGGAACAAACAAAACTATAAGACAAAAAATATAACATAAAAAAATATCTAAATAAGATAAAAAAAAGAATAAATAATCTGAAAACATACACACACATATAAATTATAAATAAAAAATTATTAAATTTGATAGAAATATCAAAGCATACTGAAAATAATAAAAATCTATACAATAAACATGAAATTAAATATAAAATTAAATTGAGAAGTAATATTAAAATATATACCACTAGAAAAATTCATATTGAAAAAGTGTTTTTTGTAAGTGCACAAGATGAGATAGAGAATAAAACTCTAATTATGATAAAATATAAAATATGTTTATTTATAAAAAGGGGGGTATGTAGCATGAGGTTAGTTTAGTTATTAATAGATTGACTTTAGTAGTTTGATAATAAAAAATTAAATGGGATGAAAATAACCACTCAAATCCATTTGAGAAGTAGTCCACGCTACTAAAAAAAAAAAAGGAGTACATTACTGTTATTTACAATTTTTTTAGATTTTTTTATTATTATTTTGTAAATATTTTTATCATTTTTGTGTTATCTTGCGATTGATACTAATATTAATAATAGTTACAAAGTTATAAATAACTCACAAAAGTTATAAATTTTTTTATTATAACATGACTCACAAAAATTATAAAAAACACTGTTAAAGTTACAAAATTTGAAGGTACGATCGAATTTACACGACGTAATTCGTTTATATACTAGTTATACATAGTTCATACACAATATAAATTCAATATGACACAATTAATTAGAAACAAATTAGTAAACAAATGGAATGTTAATAGAATATTTTTTGACACAAATGTAATAAGACCCAAAACGAACTTGCCTCACCCAATTCGATTGGGAGGCCTGATTTTGATCCCAAAAAAATTACACTTCCCCGGGTTAAAATTTAGAGGTAAAATTGGTACAAGTGAAGAGATAGAGTTGGACTAACTCCACCCTTGAGTGGTATGAGATTTCTGAGTTTACATGATCAACTAATTTAATTTTGATCACCCAAATTCTCATCATGCCTTTCTTTATTTTAAAATTTTGATTGAGGAGTAAATATTCAGTGTAATTATGCTACATTAATTTTGTCTTGTGGTATCATTATATAATAAAAAATTTAAAAATAAATAAAGCAAACTTTACTTCTTTCGAATGATATGATTTTTTTGGGGTAAATATCACAATTAGTTTATATTTTATCTTTTATTTTAAAATAGTCTCTAAATTTTCAATTATTTTAATTTAATCCCTAAACTATCAATTTTATATCAATAAAATCTTTTTGTCTACTTCATCCGTTAGAACAAATGAAGACAAATCACACGTTGTTATGTGTTTTCTACGTCATGTATTGTCGTTTGTTCTAACAACTAAAATTGATGAAATGAATTAATTAACACAAAATTGATAGTTGATAGATTAAATTAAATTAAAATAATTAAAAATTCAAGGATACTTCTAAAAACAAGAAACAAAATTTAAGGACTAGTATGATATTTATCCCCTTTTTTTTTGAATGAGAAAGACACAATCAAATACATATATTTAATTACTTATACATTCTCAACCACGCATCAGAAAGAAAAAAAAAATAATTATCCTATGTGGGGTAATTATTATTTTAAAAATTTTAGAATTTATTTATTGAGTTATTATTAAAAAAAATACTAATATGCTAATATTACTGTGATGTCACGATAGCATTGAGTATTCTTTCTTAATTGAGACGACTTAAATTTAATGTGTGCATCAAAGGGTATATATAGTGTTGCAATTTTACACGTTTACGCATTGTATCTGAGCTCTTAAGTTTTTTTTTACAAGGTATTTAAACTTGTACTATTGTTGATTACCGAATCCTCTACATTATCAGAAACAGCTCAATTACTGGACCACCTAATAGTTTTTAAGCTCGTTAAATTAATTATACATTGAAAATAATTGAGTGGGTACCAACTGCATTTCTCACATTAAAATTAAAAATTCAAATCTTAAAGTCCATATTAAAATACGATGGTTAATCGTTATACTAATTTAATTAGGATCATCTTAAAAAAAATAAAATATATATATATATATATATAATAAAATAAAAGTGTGTTTGAATTTTATTCCAGTTATATTTTTTCTCTCAAAATTATCATCAATCACTTACCTTATCCATCATCTCTTTGTAAGACTCAAACATCAAATCACATCATTTATTTCTATTATATATTTAATTATTTATATATTTTCTTCCTAAAAATATCACACCACTTATTTTTATTATATATTTAATTATTTAATATTTAATTAATTTATATTTAATATATTTTAAAAAAAATTAATATAATATAATCAATTTTTTAAACGTTCAAATTTTATATTTTATAGTCTCTTTATATACGGATTATGACTCGTGTGTGTATATATATAGCTCGCGCAGTCGGAAAGCTTAAATTCGTACCAATAAAGATCTAGTGCCCTTTTTTGTCCAGAAAAAAAAAAAATTAAATTACACATTGAAAACTTCCACGACAAATCTTGAGGAAAGTAGAATCAACCCATTTCCTGAAGAACCTTCCTCACAACTCCACCGTCTCTCTTCAATCTCCATTGCACCCCTGCGAGTCTACGATTCTCTCTCTCTATAATCAACCTTACCAAATCCAAACTCAATCCGACGAAGAAAGAGAGAAACAAATGGCAACGAATTCTAATGACCCAAATGAATTGATTTCATCCTCGTTCTCTGATTTCCCAGAAGACGTCCAGCTCTGCGTCCTCTCATTCCTCACACCTTCAGAGATCGCCAACTTCGCTTGTACATCGAAACGCTTCGTCTCTCTCTGCCGAAACGACGCCAAGCTCTGGTTCTCTATGTGCGACCGCAGGTGGGGATCGAAGACCCAAATCAAGAAATGGGGCAGTGGTAAAATTTCGTACAGACAGCTCTACAGAACCCTCAGTGAACTCGAAAACCTCATCGGTTTTTGGCGCCGTTGCGGCCAAACCAAGAACATCACCACCAATTCGCCACCGCCGCTCATCTTCTTCGAGTGGGGTTCGTTTTTTATAATCGGTTCAAGAATTTCCCCTTCAAAAAATGGCACTTATGATGTGATCAGAGCCCCATTTTTGTGGATAAGTATCACACGCAATGGTGGATCCATCAGCTTCATCGATCTGGAGTGTAGACCCGAATTATCTGAGAATTTGGTTAACAACTCGGGTGATTTTGGGTGCTTGGAAAATGAATTGGTGCCAGTAAATGTGAGTTTCATGGGGAAATCTCACGTTGTTGTCGAGGAAAATTTGGGTTTTTCTTATTCGAATCCGGTTCAGAGGGTTTTGAATTCGGGGAATGTGAGGGGAGAAGAGTGTGGGGTTGTGGAGGAGGTTGCTGGGTCTCCACCGGACCGATTGATGTCGGAGATTTATCAGTATTTTGCAAACAGGACGAGTCCGGGAGGGAATGGTGCAGCGAGGAGACAGAGGAGGAGAGAGAAGGAAAGGCAGGGGAGAAGGAAATGGGAACCGGAGCATTTCGTCAAGATTGAAAATTGTTCGCCCACGGCTTCGCGGCCACTGCAGGGCTTATGGAAGGTGGGGTTTCTATGCTCTTTATTTTGCTTACCATATGTATATACACACTCAAGCGTATATAAAGATATATCTATTTTTGTAATGCCTTTATTGCTGTGATCAGTAGGAATGAAAAAGTTGTGATTTTTATGGATGGTTTTCTTTATTAAGAAACGCATCAATCTTGGAAATTATATACTGGCTTATTAAGATGGTTCTTTTGTTGTGTAAGAGCTGAGTGCAACAGAATAGTGGTACACAACAATTTTTTGAACTCTTATAACATGCATTGCTGGAAAATTTAGGAAGTTGTTTGAATATTTCGCTAGAACAAATACATGACAAACATAGAAGGATGAGTTGCAGTTGAAGGAAGTTCTGGGGGTGTTTCAGTTGGTCCCTGTGTCCTGGCCCTTATGCAGAAGTCTTACTAAGCAGTAAGCAGGAGGTCCAGGACCAACTATGCACTCCCCCTTGGGGCACACCATCATCGTGGCCTCACCTGCATCAGTATGATTGAGGACAGAAGGAAGAAAGAAGGTTTATCCTGAAGCTTTGTAGTCGAATTGTTGGGTGTTTTTTTTTGGAGGTGATAGCTGAAAGAGGATATGCTCCAAGTATGGCAGTTTAACAATTGAAATTAGAGGTGACAGCCGTTTGTAGAGGATTTGCTCACTCATGGATTTTTGAAGGTGGCATTCGAAAGGAAGGTAGAGAAAAATCATGAGATCTCATTTGAAGAGTCGAACTTTACCAATCTGATGTACTATGTAAAAGCAAGGGATTAACTTGGACCAAGATCAATGGCATACAGTCCCAAGAACAAAGTCCGTTCAGATATCATGAGATTTCTAAATCAATGGAACACACTAATCTTTTAAGTTTTCAAGTAAAACGCTAGCAACTGTATAGGATTACTGGAACAACCATGCGCCTACCTCCATCTAAGGACTCAAGATATGTGAGGGAAAAAGAAGAAGGTCGAGTTCTGTTGGTGTAGGGGCTTCCCTTTTTGGAGCTATTTGAGTTATTACATATTTGAGCTTTTTCCCAAAATGCAAGTGGTAAAAGAAAATATGTTTGCCTTTTTTTTGGCTGCTGTGACAGATTCTTTCATCTTTTTTATGTGTTTGTATCCTATGATAACCATCAAAAGATGTTGGATGCAGAGGGATACTCCATTGCAGCTATTTTATGCTCTTTCCTGCTTCACTGCAGGGTATTTGTGATGATATGAACTTGGATTTTTACCTCGTGGTGTATGATGACATTGGGGGTATTGCCTGCCGAAGAGTCGGGGATGCGTCTAAACCTTTCTCAGGTTATGACCCAGTATTTTGGACATCAAATACTACATTCATTGAGTCTCCATTGCCATTTGAAGAAGAGTATATATATAACAGTCGTGTGCATCTTCGGCCACCTCCAGCAGCAGATGACGATCATGGACATCCCTCTTCAGATAATGAAGCAGTCTCGCACATTCTTCACATCAACTCAAGTTATGATCTGGTTATTGCAGACTTGGCAGGAACTATAGCGAATTCTTGGCTGGTCGAGGGAAGGATTTGGCAGTATGAGAATGGAACATTTGGATTTGGGTTTCTTCGTAACCATTACGTTACAGACTTGAAGCACATTGCCTGGAATGGTTGTCTTCTGGATGCAATTGAATTTAGTAATAGTTGATATCATTGTTTAGGATCATCATTTGTACAAAATAACTTTGTGTACGGATACCTTTGTGCACTATGACTTATGTAACATCTTCACATGAAATTAATATTGTGAATTTTTAGTAGTGTCATTGCATACTTGTTTTTTGATTCTATTTCTTTGCGAGTGTGGTGTGAGTGCTCAAAAGAAGATTCATCATACTGGTCATCAAGTTAGTTTTGGAAGCTGGGAGACTTGTAACTCTTACCTTGTCGGCATACTTGTGTGATCAATCGATGGACGAGACCAGCCTAACCTAAAGTAAAGGCTCTTCCCTCTCTTGATGGGGAATTACTTGAGAGACATGGATGGACGGCTCCGCCTCCAACTCAAGCACGAAATCAATGTTGAGTCAACAATTATAGAGAGGGGCACCACCAAGCGAGATCGAGACCAGCCCTTTTTATAGGTTCTAAACCTACGCTTCTTCAAATATCCTATAATATAATAAAGTAGGGGCTTCAAAGCTTGACTAACAAGCGAGAAACTTGGCTTTGAGAAAGAAAAGAAAAGAGGTGCTCTTGTTCTATCCATTGTTGGGTAAAGTGTTCATGAGAAGCTCCTCAAAACATCCTGACACTGACTTGGTACTTAAATTAGCCCAACTCTACAAACCTCTTACGAATTTATCATTCTGCAGTTGCTCTCTAATTTTATTTCCAAGCTATCATTTAGTGGAAATACATCAGAATCTTACAATCTGACAACAGAGACGGTAACTGTACTGTCTCAAAGCTGCTTTTGATAGGATGATCTGAAGAGTGCCAAGAAGATCCATGGTTAAAATTGCTGAGGTAGGTGATTCCTTAATTTTCTGGTTGAATATCGAAAAAGTTTATTACTATGCCCTTTTTCCTTTTAGTTGCAATTATTTTGATGCATCAAGTTCATTGTTTCTGTTCTGCTAGATGAGAACTATCAGTTTGTGCAACTGTCATCTTGAAGGCTGCTTGTGTGAAGGCAGATGATATTTGCTTTGGTTTCAATGGAGGAGATTCCCCATCTGAAGTTCTATACGATTTTCTAATTTTCTTTGGATTTCAAATGCCTCAATGAAATTATGATTTCTTCCCAACCAAAAATAAAAGGAAAAAATCTTCTCTAAGAGTCTGCTTAACAGTGAACTGCTTGAATAGAAGAAACAAAAAACATAAAACAAAAGATTTTCTTGAAGGAAGAAGTATTTCAAGGAAATACAAATCAGTCAGTCTCAGTGTTGGGCAGAGCCCATTTTCAAAGGATTGTTTCGTTGCAATGCTTGCTTGAATATAGCTACTCCCATTAAAAGGAATTTTGCACTCTACTATACGGTATGACTACAAACCGAATGAAAAAGTTGGAACATGTTGATTCAACACCCCAACTTCTTACAAATTTCAAAGTATTCGTGAAATTTGCCAGCTTCTACGAATATACTGCAGAGCTCCTTGCTCAGCCTCAGAATCTCTAACAAGGAGGGACTTACAGAAATGATGGGGTTTTCACTTCTTTTTTCTATAATCATCAATACGACTGCAAACTCACAATATCATACTGGTAGCCTAGTACATAAATCACCACATTATATTGACAACAAGCTTTTCAATCTCATTGGTAACATCCAGTGTTTCACGACACAACCCAAGAATAACAAACAAGGTCCACACACGTCAATTTAAACACAGAGAAATCTTTTCAGTCTTATAACCATAAACCCATTCTTAAACTACAGGAAGATGGTAGATTGTAGAAGGGACAATATCAATATCGAGGTGGAAAAGAACACGAGATAAGAAAAGTTAGAAAGGTGGACTGTTATTCGGCAGCAACTTCTCTTGCTGTTGTTGAATCCTTCTCATGGTCGCCCTCAAGTTGGCTCAAGTTGCCTTTCTCCTTGATGAGTTGAGTTTGGTGGTGTTTGCAGTAAAGGCGACCCTCGTGTGCAATGTAGTTGGATGGGCTAATTACACATCCTCCATGGCTGCATTTGAAACAGCTCTTGTGGTATGCAGTTCCATTCACTGACACCTTCACATATAAATCAGAATTGTTAGAATAAGTTCACTTTTTTACACAAATTTCTCTACTGTTTCTTTTGGGGGAGACTAACACAAAGCAGAGACCCTTATCATTTCATTAAAGATATATGCTTGACCATTCTAGATGCTTTTTTTTGGGTGACTCACCAACCGACCCAGCAGTGATCGATGACAGAATGGTACAAACAAATTAAAGTCATTGGATTTGGTAGTTCTACATTGACTTCCCTCTTTACCCCTTTGCAAACTATTGAAATTTGAAACAATACTTGCAAATGTGAAACACAATTTATAATGTAGAACAGAGTCTGAGCTAGCTCTGAGCATGTGAATGTAGAAAGAATTCAATGGATTAGCATTCAAGAGTAGCAGTAGTTACCTTTTCAGTTGGATAAACAGTGTTCTTACAGCCCAAACATTTCTCCCTTGTTCCACCAAACATACTTGAGACTTTGTTTGCCATTGGTTTCTGTTCAAGGATTAAGGTTAGAAGCACAGATTCGGAACTCTATGATCATATTCGTAAGCATATTAGTTTTAGATTGATTTACCACACTGTCTACAGGTTTTTCTGGTTTGACAATTTTTGGTGTCCCTGAAATATTATTGAAATGAGCTTTAGCTATCAGAATTATACTATGACTCGAGAATCGCATCTTATGTAACTGCATCATATTATATATTTACCTTCAAAGCTTTTGTCGAGACTGCCAGTTCTTTTGAAGAGCTGATCAAAGTGTGGCCTGCAATATAGAACTCCCTCAAAGGAATTGTAGTTACCTAGCTGCAAACAAACCCATCATCATCAGTAGAATTGTATATGAAAGACGGGTAAGGTTGCGTGAATCTAGCCCTTCCCAGACTCCGCAATGACGGGAGCCTCGTGCCCTCGTACACCCTTTATCAATTAATTTTTCCCCGTCTTTCAAATGAAGAAACACAAATCCACAAAAGCAACTCATTTTAGGAACCTCTAATTTTGCCATTCAAGACTAGAAGATCTGACAGCACGAATCAATTGTTGAATCAAAACGCATCAGTGGTATAAGCCATAAGAACTGATAGATCGGAGCAAACAGATGTAATACAGATTAAAAGAAAATAAAAGCCTAAAATAAAAAAACCATGTGGAAAGGGGTGCTGTGGAATATACGTCAGTGTTTTATTGTAGCATATAACAAGTTGGATGCAAGCATATCCTGTCTAAACTTGAACCAAGTGAATCAAGTAGTTGCAGATCTCGGAGAATCTCTCTCTCTCTCTCTCTCTCTCTCACCGCAAAGTCAGGTTTCCGTACAGTTTTAAGTGGGAAAGATGGATAAAGTATAACGGACCCGGATACATAATCAAAATATGCTGACAAAACTCAGAATTGAAGGGAAGGAGAATTCTCTGATTTACCTTGAGAGTGCCCTTGCAGTGATGACATCTGAAGCAAGCTTTGTGGTAGATACGATTGTCTGCAGTCAGTTTGTCCACCAGATAAACAGTCTTGTCACATGCCATACATTTCTGTGTTGTTCCTGCAAAAGCCATGGCTCCCAAGTCTCACACAAAGCAACAATTCTCTCTCTCTCTCTTCTCTACAAGGGAAAGTAATGAGAGAAGGAAATTTTGAAGGGACGAGAGGAGATAAAGAAATGTGGGTAGCAGAGGATTGAGGAGACAAAAGGCGAACGAAGTAGATAATTAAAGGAGTGACTTTTTCATAATCATTTTGTCCAGATATAAAGCATCTAACAACCTGTCAGATATTTTTCTCCCCTTATCTTGTGTCTAAATTCTTTTCACTGTTGGAAAAATATATATAGAAAACTTATCCTTTTGGCTGGAATTATATAGGAATAGTTTTTCTATATTTGAAAGATTTCATACTAACATATCTTAGTAATACCTTTCATATTTATTGTGCAATTCAATACAGGAAATCCTTCAAGAATTTAAAATATTAGAATACATAGTGTAGAATTCAAAAGTCTTCTGCCTTTTTCCATTAGATTCCTTAAGCTTATTTAATAGGTATGTTGTAAAGCCTTCAATTGTTTAAAACAAACCAATTCCTTGAATTTATAGTCAGATGTATGTGACCCTGATTTATGGTTTATTTTATTTTTTTTGGGTAATCTTTTGATGCACAAATTAAATTAGAAAAAAAAAAGAGATATAGAGGGATATATAAGTAAATTGCTTGCAGGGTATTGAGTTTTATCATGGTCCAAAAAGAGAAACTTAAAAAAGCATTATTCATGTTATGATTATATACACATGAACTCATAATTGTTCCTTGCTAGCTCATCAAAATCACTACAATGGAGCCCAGTTTGGTGCATAGTGAGTTACTTTCTTTTCAGACTGTTTAGTGTCTACCGCTGTTATACCCATTACATGAATACTAATGAAATATCTGCCCCGCAGGATTCGCTGGCCCGTGAGATTAGTTGGATGGCTACACCTCTGTGTGTGTGAGGGAGAGGGAGAGGGAGAAACAGAGATAGGTGGGGACCATAATGAGAGTGGGGCTTTGCTAGATGAAATTAAAAGAAAACAAAAAGTAGTATGAGAAGTAGACTACTCTTAAGATACTGTTTAAAAACAGAAAGGACAGTGACAGAAGACTTTTAGTCCAAGCTTAGATGGTATCATGGATTGTAAATTATGTCTTGTATTTGAATTTGGAGAATTATTAGAATAAGCCCACGAAAAATTTATCCTAGTTTCAACATAAATAATCTGTTTTTAACTGGATCAAATAAGAGATTAATCAAGACACGCATAAACTGACTTAAACACCTCTGATCATTTTGAGACCTCCTCTAGCTGCCACCATTTGTCCATGCAAGAGATAGTTGGCTGGCTTTCAATTCCAAACCTTCTCCTTTTTTTTGTTTTATTTCATTATAAGTCTTCTATAAGCATCACAAAGCATTTGAGAACCAAAGCATAATATACATCATATGACCCACCAATGTAATGTGTATTAACCCGTCATTAAAATATCAAAGAGACCATTGTACTCGTGTTAAAAAAATCATACCCATTATACAAAATTCTCAACTAGTACAATAATCAAGAGAGATATACTCTCGAATTCAAACCTGTGATACATTTAACAGTCAACTATAGCAACGTGTCTTGGTCCCTCTGGTTGGCTGGCCATCATCTGGAAAGTAATCTATTAGCAGATGCAAACCACCATTTTGATTACAGAGATGACAGTCGCACATGTTCGTGCGATTGGGTTTGGTGGGGAACTTTGTGGTTGTGGAGACGATAGATTCATATTCATAGGCACTCAATAATGATGAAAGGAATTGAGTAGTTGACAGCTCTCCAGCTCTTTTTTTAAGACCCTGGTTGTCCCCACCAAAATGATTTGCATAATTTCAGAATTTGGGCCAACTAGGAAAGCCCAATATCAAAACAAAAGGGCTTCAATGGTCCATAATGGAAGGGCTCCAATTCGTTTTGTTGAAAAGGCCAATATGTTGGGTTGGGGCAGGAGCAGAGCCAGAATTTCACTTGAGAGGGAGGGCTAAAGAGTGGTACAAAAAGATAGTTTTATTCAATCTGAATTATTTAATTTGATCGTTAATGTTATGATATTTATATATATAGAATATATAAGAATCAATCTCACATGGTACAATATAATTATTATTTTTAATAAAATAAATAAATTCATAATTTTATTAATAACTAATAGTTCAACGTGATCTAAGCAATTGTTAAGGTGATAAAATAAAATCAAGATTATAATTTAATGTATAAATTATAGTTTTTAAAATTTAAGTGATATATAAAATGTGATCAAAACATAATTTTAAGAGTGTAATGTATAATTTTAAAAAGTTGAGGGGACCATAACATGGTTCGCCACTAGATTGGGGGCTAGATTTGCCACTAAGTTAACATTTAAATGAATTATTGTTTATATGGTTAAACGTTAAAATTTAAATGAGTTAGCATAGTTAAAAATGTTAAATTGTAATATAAATCATCGAATCTAAATAATCTGCCTCATTATTGTACCTTTTCTAACCGATGAGTTTAAGCAGAAGCTCTGTTTTATTACTATAGATTTTCTCTCTTCTTGTGGTTTGCGCGTTTTGATTTATAAATTTTTTGACGTCAAGAACAACTTAATGGGCGTTTGGTCTAGTGGTATGATTCTCGCTTTGGGTGCGAGAGGTCCCGAGTTCGATTCTCGGAACGCCCCCCCATGCCAGTATTTTACCGTATTATTTTTTTCCCTTAGTACCGATATTAATATGGGTCTGTGGTTTTGGTCTGAGCTTCTGAGTTCTGCCTCTTTCTTCGCCCTTCGTATTATTTTCATTCATTGAAGAAGTTATCGTTAACCCTAGAAAAGTACAGAGAAGAACTGAAGCAACTAGGAGCTATATACAAACCTATACACAGGAGAGAGAGAGATAGAGATGGTCTTCGGTCAGGTGGTGATTGGCCCGCCGGGATCCGGCAAGACCACTTACTGCAACGGCATGTCTCAGTTCCTTAATCTCATCGGACGGTAACTATGTTATCTGCCTAATTCATCTCATATTTTGATTTTTTGTTCCCTTCTTACGTTTGATTGTCGGTCGGTCCCATAAATTTGTTTTGCTTTCGACACTGAAATCAGAACTGTTTGTATTTGGTACACAAGTGTTTTGCGACACAAACCGTCTGCCTTTTAGAATTGGCGTAACTCTCTTGAGTTGTTAAGTTGAAAATGAGCATGGTTTGAGAAGTGGTGGTTCAAAGATAAAGTTCATTATTTGTACAGTTTTAAGTCCAGTAGTAGCTCAAAATGGATTATAACAGGGTAAACTGAGATTTTATTGTGTGCACAATGGTAACCTGTGGTGGAATAGCAAGGAACGAATTGTTGAGGGATGAAGGTTTTAGAGGGGTTGGGTGAAGGTTGGAGAGATGAGGATTGACTTGTTACAAGCAAAGCCACAGATTAGGTTTACATGGAACACAGTAATTATGGAATATGGACTCGTGGTAGACTTAAATGAGTTCGATTTTCATGCTTGTTCCTTCAACTAGGTAGTTGATAGTTGATTATAGAATGATGTTCCAACAACTTCAGTTGTGGAAATTTTTGAGGAAATGATTTTCTGAAGTATGGATATAATTTTTACGATAAAAACAGAGGTATATTTACATATTACCCTTGATAGAGCACAATGGCTAAACACGAAGTTGGGATTAAGACTTTGTAGAATTGAGTTGAGAGTACAAACAGAGGTATATCTTTACATGAGGTATCTATACTTATCTTATATGAAAGATTCAATCTTGATGTATGTTTGATAAAAAAAAAATATGGAATGCTTTTATGAATTAACCTATTCTCAAAACTTAATATCTTTTGGGAACTAAAACTATGGTTGCTACTATGCGTCTTCACTGACAGCCTTGGGGTTTAAGCCCAGGATGTATTTCTAACCATGCAATGTATGAATTGATTTCTCTCTCTCTCTCTCTAGGTGTTTGTTTTCAATAGTTGCTTAGAGACTTGAACATGGAAATGTCTCTGTTAAATCTATTTTTATTTTTCCTCCCTTCTAATTGTCACAATAAATATATAATCACCGGCGTGCAGGAAGGTAGCTGTTATCAATTTGGATCCTGCGAACGATGCTTTACCGTATCCTCTTTGTCAATTGTTTTTACAATCTGTTGATATGTTTCTTTTGCTGATAATTACAATTCATGGTTCACCTTGAAGTCAAGGTGAACCATTGGGATGGGTATCCAAAGTTATTCCTTATGTAATACAGGTATGAGTGCGCTGTGAATATTGAGGATCTCATAAAACTAAGTGATGTAATGATTGAGCATTCTCTCGGTCCCAATGGAGGTGAGGCTGCTTTCTACTTGCATGTTATGGAACTATGTTATTGTGGACTACACATGTAACTACCTTGTGATCTCTCAGAGTTACATAAAAAGTTTGGTGGTGGACATCTTGCTTGTTACTCATGTGACTCATATCTGCTTTAACTGGTCTCTAGTTTCTGAAAAATTCAGCATTTTGTCTCATAGGTCTTGTTTATTGCATGGATTATCTGGAGAAGAACATTGACTGGTTGCAGTCCAAATTGGAGCCCCTGCTTAAAGGTTGGCACATCTAATATAATCTTACGGAATTCTTTGTTTTTTTCTGACGTAAACTTGTCTTTACATTTAACTAGTGTGGATGACGTGCAATGCGTCTAGGACTTTGGAGACTCTTTGGATGTTCTGCATACATACCTTTTCTAACATATCTGTGTTGATTTCCATCTTAGAAAAGAAAATGAAAGAAAAATGACAGGTTGCCAAAATTTCTCAGAATAATTTCATAAGTACAGGCTGATAGATTCAGATTAAGTAGTTTTGTGTGCACTAGAACCTGCCCAAGATAGAAGTAAATTCAAAACTTATCTTTAGGAACATCATAGGGTGGCTTGAATTTCTACATAGTATATATTAGCAAGTTACGAAGGAGGAAAAATTAACAATATTGTAGATAGAAATATAACAAATTAGAGCTTGCCTGACTTTTAAAACATGTCATTTCTCATTTATGCATTATGAAAGGATGAATATTTTTATTTTAGCCCAGGTGGCAAACAGGAAGACTACCTCACATATAAAGAAAAAAATATGCATCCAACAAATCTATGGCCTGCTTTCTGCCTTTCTCTTCTAGACTTCTTATTTTAGGTGATGAGGAGCACTGAGTAATGCAGCATCTTCTGGTGATTCCTCATGATGATGTTGTGTCATTAAGGATGAAGACCCGCTGATAGAATAAACACTATGTTCACCATTTTATCCATGTCTTACAATTTCGTTTAGATGCTGATACTTGTCTTATTTTTTCTTTTTTTTTTTAGGGTCATATTCTTGTCTTAAGTAGACACCTACACCTTTATGCTGATGTATTTTGTTTTGCTTACAAGGTTAAAATATTGTAGACCTGTTTCCATTTGGATGTCATAATTTAGACATGATTACCTGAATATTATTATCATTGCAGATCACTATCTTCTCTTTGATTTTCCTGGCCAAGTGGAACTATTTTTCCTTCATGCAAATGCCAAGAGTGTTATCATGAAACTCATAAAGAAGTTGAACCTTAGGGTATGATTATGAGTATTATGATGATGTGGTATTTCTGTATCATTCAGTGGGACCAGAACATCTGAAGTGAACTCAGTTTGTATTGTTGCTGCCTTAAGTATTTGTGTCTTAATGTGGTTCTTATATTATGCAGTTGACTGCAGTGCACTTAGTTGATGCCCATCTTTGTAGTGACCCTGGGAAGTATGTGAGTGCATTGCTTCTCTCATTATCAACCATGCTACACCTGGAACTTCCTCACGTTAATGTTTTGTCCAAGATCGATCTGATTGAAAATTATGGAAATTTAGGTTCGTCCAATTCATTTATCTTTAGACATCAAATGCAAGATCAATTTCAAAAATCTTTTAAATGCTATTTATCTTCATTAATCATTGTCATCGTCTGTTTTTGCAGCTTTTAACCTTGATTTCTACACAGATGTGCAAGATTTAACATATTTACACCATCATCTTGATCAGGATCCTCGTTCTGCTAAGTACAGGTGTGATGTATTGCTAGAAATTCTGTGCAAAATCACATAGATCAATATTTACTCTGTGCCTGGCGTGGTGTTGTAGCTGTAGTTTTGCTCGAGGCACCTGTAGTGGGATAAAATTGTCCCATTTTGGATTTCCAGTGTCATGGAACACTGCTCAATGTCTACACCTATTATATCACCTGGATGGGATGATTCACACCTAGTGGGATCGGTAACATGAAAAAATATATGAATTACAATAAACAAACTGTGGAAGGAGCTCTAGGGCAAACCTGTACGGTCAAACAACAGGAAACCACATATCACATACTTGTCTCTTAACAGTCATTTTGAAGCACCTATCAGGATAAACCTGTTGTAGTAATGCTGTTCACCTGTGCCAGCCCTTTTCCCTTGGTTTTGTGGCTGCATTGGAAGGCAAAGGATAAATTGGTAGTATGAGCCATTTGATTCCTCAAATAATTGGACTGGTTGATATTTTTTCTGACATTAGTTTGAGATGCCCCGCATGATTAGCTTTTCAGATTTTTTGGGTAAATCAGAAGTTTAATTTTATGTAATCAGTTATTCTGAATGCAGGAAACTTACGAAGGAGCTGTGCGAGGTGATAGAAGACTATGGTCTTGTTAATTTTACAACTTTAGATATTCAGGCAAAGCCATATCTTCATCTTTTGAGTTCATATTGATTACAAGTAGTTTGTGCAGTCGGTCACATTTTCCATCGCAGGATAAAGAGAGTGTCGGAAATCTTGTCAAGCTGATTGATAAGAGCAATGGATACATCTTTGCCGGCATAGATGGAAATGCCGTTGAATTCAGCAAAATTGCAGTTGGTCCCGTTGATTGGGATTATTACAGATATCCTTTTTCCTCCGTGTGTTTTGATATATTTTTGTGGATTGCCGTTTACCAGCCTGCAGAATGGTCATTCTAGGGCATTCTCTTTTATGTTTGTGTAATTTTGTCATTTCTAAAGAAATACCTGTTCTGCTCCAAGGTCAATGAATTGTGGCAATGTTATAAGTTGATGCTTACTATTGTCTTCACATTGTTAGAAGATGGTGGACACAATTTTCTTAATAAATGACAGTTTTACGCTCGGTAGTAACTTAAAAACTTCTACCAATTGTTTGTTGTGAAATTTAGTTGGGTGAGAAATAGACGCACTTGAAATCAGCAGTGGTACATGGCTTTTGTTAAAAGAAGGGGAGTATGAACTGTAGTTTGGTTTATCTATTCCTATTTTATGTGCAATATTCTGTATATATACAAACAATATTGTACATGGCAATAATATGCGTATCATATGATATACTTGGCTTGGTCCTTGAGGCCGTGCCTCATGAGCTTTCTTGATGCATACTCGTAGATAAAAAGCTGATCACATCCTATCTGCTCTTTCTGTTTAACTAATTTGGGACAGTTATTCAATTGATTTACTTAACATAGCTGTCCACAGTTGCAGCAGTGCAAGAGAAGTACATGAAGGATGGTGATAATTTTGATGACTGACTAATGAGGAAAATTACATGATCAGTGCTGTCATGGGCTAATAGACTCTGGTGAGCGGGCGATCCTTTTGCAGCTTTTCCTTTTTTTTTTTTTTTCCGGATCATGCTTCTCTTTTTAGGTGGGTCTTACTTCCCTTCTACAGAAACTACTGATCAAGCACGCTTCTTAATTCGGCTTAGGAAAAGGTTGAATACCATGGTGTGGCTTCTTATCTCTGTGCCACACTTTGCGTCTTAATTTAAAGCAGGAAAGTTTGAATGCCATATGTGAATAGTGATCCTTCTTTGGATTCCGTTGTTCAGATTAAAGATTTGTTTGATATATGCAGAACTGGAACTTGCAGAGCCTCTGATCGTTTAGTATTTTATCCAAAATGGACAACCCATCCCCAACATACCAAAAAAAAAAAAAAAGGTGTTTTGCCGCAAGACTCTTGGTATGAATTGTGGCGTGTTGGATATCTAAGTTGTGTACATTATGTTGGGTCAAAATTGACTCGGTCCATACATCATAAATTTATGGGTTAATCTCATTTTGTACCCCGAAAGATTGTTCGAATCTCAATTTACATCCTCAAAGATCAAAAATCTTAATTTATACCCTCAAAGATAGAAATTTGTATCAATGTGCACCTCCAAAGATCAAAAATCTCAATTTGTACCCTCAAAGATAGAAATTTATATCAATGTGTACTCCAAAGATAAAAAATTTTAATTTGCACCCTTAAAGATAGAAATTTGTATTAATGTGCACCTAAAATTAAATTAATAAATTATACCTAAATCCTTTCATATTTGTCAGTTAATCATTTAGATCACTTCACATATAGAATATTACTCCTATATCTTATGACATTTGTGCACGTATAACACGTAATCCATTTTCATTAATATCTATTAATATAACCGTTAAAAAATATAATTTTATCTTAATAAAAAATTATAATTTCATATTACCCTTTATTTTATAGGTTCAATATACTATAAAGTTCAAAATTTAGTTTACCATTTGAATGTCTAATAAAATATAAATATTTATATAATATTTTTCATATTACCTTTTATATAAATATCTACATTTTATTAGACATTCAAATGGTAAACTTGATTTTCAACTTTAGAATATATCGAATCCACAAAATAAAAGGTAATATAAAATTATAATTTTATATTAGGATAAAATCATATTTTTTAACGATTATATTAATATATATCAACGAAAAGTGGTTATGTGTTACACATGCATAAACGTCATGAGATGTAAGGGGAATATTCTAAATGTGAAGGAGTTCAAATGATTAAGTGACAAACATGAGGGGATCAAGGTATAATTTATTAATTTAATTTTAGGTGCACATTGATACAAATTTCTATCTTTGAGGGTGTAAATTGAGATTTTTGATCTTTGGGGGTGCACATTGATTCAAATTTCTATCTTTGAGGGTGTAAATTGAGATTTTTGATTTTTGAGGGTGTAAATTGAGATTCGAACAATCTTACAAGGTGCAAAATGAGATTAATCCTAAATTTATTACTCCACCCTGGTGAATTTGCCCGAATATGAGTTTAACTCGTTAAACTTCTATTCATGCGTGTTGACTTTGTATCTGTTCTGTGTTGGTTTGACGGGTTATGTTAGAAATTGTTGAATTGGGTTGGTTTTTTTTTTTTTTCTTATAAGGTGTTTATGTTTATGTTTATGCGGACTATTCTTTCGAATTTTGAGCCAACCATTGTAACTCTAATTAGTTTAAAAACATGTCCATGAGAAATAAGGGTGGTTATGTTGGGTTTAAATGTCGTCTCAAAGTTAAAGCTATATCTGGTAAATTAGTCAATTTTTATGTCTAATTAGGGGTAATTTGTACTTGAAGATACGGTGTAACGTGTGATAAGAAGTGAATTTTAGGGGTGGGAGAGCAAAATTTAATGTGAATGGTTTTAAGAGAGATGTTAGTGACTGTTAAATATGTTTATTTGAGACTGTCAAATGAGTTTATTAAAGTCTGTTCTGTTTTATGTTATAGAATTGAAGAAAAATTATAAAGCATGCTGATATTGGTCATTTATATAGCGATTTACACGGGCAGGGACGTTTGCCGGTCAAAATCGTTCCTTCAAACACAGGTAAAGATGCACAATGTCCGTGCAATTCATGCGTAACAGGCTCATCTAGGCCCACATTGGTTTTTCTGCATGGAACCAAAATATCAAAGAGTAGTGTTATACTGATCAAATTTTGGTATCAAATTTAAAACTCAAATAACATGGTAGTTGATTATTTGAAATTTTTTTTTGGGTCTAAATGATATGATATTAATCAAAAAAATTCAAGTTAATTGTTATATTATTTGAATTTTAAATTTGATTCTAAAATTTAATCACTCTAACATTATTGAAAACCAAAAAGATATGCCGCAGTCAGACCATATTTATTAAATAGTTCAGACGGGGATCAGAGATCACGTTTATAGTGTGGTTACCGTTGTGATACGGAGGTACGGGGCTGCTGCTGACCGACCCTCTTCAGCAGATATGGAAGGCTTGATGTGATGCGCCCAAACGAAGACGACCTGTAGAAGTTTAAGGACAAGCGTAAAAATGTCCTTGACACGGATTTGCTAAGCATTGCGAGTACCACTTCTTATGTATGTGAGTAAGGGCGTTAATTGAGATAAATTATTTAGTTTGGCTCGAATAAAAGTCTATTCATGTACGACTCATATTTTAAATAAGTTGAGCTCTAAAGGCTTAGTTTAAGTTTATAAAATTTGACTCGTTTATATGTAATATAGTTGAGCTATTTGGGTTTAGTTCGGATTCGTCTTGGACTCGGACTCAGCTCAAGGTCTAAACAAGACGAACTTGAATAATTTTTTAAACTCGTTTAAAAAAATAAGTTCAGTAGGCTTGGGTTCAAGTTCATAAAATTTGACTCGATAAACAACCCTATGTTCGAGCTTCGTGAGAGAGAAAGTGTGGTTAGTTTTTGTCGGTAATATTTGTTAAATAACAATCTACTCTAAAAATTTAAAATGTTAGGGATGATATAACTTAAAATTTATAATTTAACCCGTCCTCTCACATGTAAATTAGATTTAATTTATTTAACAAAAAAAAATTATCATATTATTATATTCATATTGTGTCCATAGCCTCTGTTGTGGAGAGAAAGAAACGTACAATATCGGCTCATGATAGTTCTTAAAGCTCAATAGTCATTAGTATGCCCATTGTCTCCTTGGAAACTTACTAGTTCCTCCATGATTGCTAAATAACTCTTCTAGAAATCTTTGTTTTAAAAAATTTTCACCCTTTTTTCAATGGTGGCTGAAACCTTTTTCAACAAGGTGATAAACACAAAGGCAACTCTGATTTAACAAAGCACTCGGAATTACTTTGCTTCTAGATATGAGTTGTGGGGGCCACCTGTCCCAATTTTTCCTTGGTATTTTTTCCTTGGGTCCCACTCATATAGAGCAAAATGAAATTGAATGCAGTGGTCGGGGTCGTTACTCTCACTCGTTTTCGTTTTCGATGACTTGACTTAGGGGGCAAGGTGGCGCAATTTTCCATTCAAGATTAATTAGAAGACCTAAACATCTAAATTATGATTTTTTAAACAGGTTTAAAGGATTCATGTACTTCAATTGAAGAATAATGAACGAGTATAGATCCTGACTCGTGACAATGATAAGTGCTCATCTTTCAAAACGATATCTCATAGATTTTATATATTTTTTGTCTCTCCTATTGTGTGTTTGGCAGGTAGAAAAATGGATGGAAAGAAAGCGAGGGAGGTAAAATAGAAAGGACCGAAAATGTTTCCATTGTTATGAGAGAGTGGAAATTAGGAGAGAATTTTTATCTTTCTAGCCCACCAAATATTTTCAGCCCAAATTTGAGTAGAAAGTGGACGGAAAAAGTGAAAACAAGATAATAATTTTTTAAATTAATTTTTTTATCTTTTACTTATTGGATATATTTCATTCCCAGTTCACACATCTTTTGTTGATCACCAGGAGATAAATTCACTGTTGTATTTACTCTAAAATTAATTCGTAACAAAAAGAAAGGGATTAAAAGTTTTTTCAAATTAATTGGATTGATTTGTAATAAAAAATTCACTTAATATATTTAATGGTAGAATTGTAAATTTGACATATATGTTTTTCCTTTTCTTTCAATTTTTATCAAATACCAAACAATAGAAAATATATTCATTTTATTTTCCATCTCTCCTATCAAACAAAAAAGAGGAAAAATAATTTTCTTTCTTTAAAATTTATTCCTCTCACTTTTTCTTTTTCCTTCTTTGTACCAAACAGACAACTGGAGTAAGATGATTTACTTACGAGAGATTACTATCATTAAGCTAGTTGTCATTGTCCTGTCTTATTAGACTTGGATGTCCCGAGGGACGTGCATTCTAGATGACCTTCACACCACAAAGGTTGATTGCTATGCACAAAAATATATAAAGTTTCAATTTAAATAATTACATTGTTAAAGTTTAATTTAACAGACTTTCATTCAAATATATTACATTGTCTAGAAAAAAATTTTCTCTCGAATACATTGATATTTCTCTCACAATATTTCATAAACTGTCTTTTTTTTTTCGGGTTTATTATATTATTATTCTTTAAATCAAATTATCTAAAATAAGATTTTCTAACCTACATGTTAAAAAAAAAAAATATCACGAGACAAATATTCACTTTTACCAAAGTCATGTGTTGGTCAATAAAAGTCATTCCATCATAATAAATTAACAAATTTTGATGTAAGAACTAAATTAAGAACACAATAAAACTCTTAAAATTTTGATTATTGCAATTAGAATTTTAAGAACCAAATAAAAATTATAATTTACATTAAAATAAAAGACTAAAACTTAATTTATAATTATAATTTACGTTACGCGTTACCCATTGTCCATTCTCCTTGTGCGGCAATGTCGAAGTGTTCTCATTTGAAATCTATTCCACATGTATGATAGACATTATTAGTCAAATAAGTTGTGTCTGATCACTTCAACAATATCAAAAAGAAAATCCTAAATAAAAGCCAATATAAAACACTCGAAATTTCTTCTAAAAAACAGTCCAATAGTTATTGCCTGCTCTATACACTTTGCTTGGTTATAGTCAAAATGAGACTCCTATATATTTATTATGTGTTTTTTTTTTTTTCTCAATTACATGAATCTTTTTGACTTTTTTTTTTTGGATGAGCATATATAATTTTAGGGGGTTTTTTTAACAAAAATTTTAGGATTAGTAATATTTTTTGTCATTAAAAGTATGTACATTTTGTCAGTTTGGTTCATAAAGTATCAGTTTTATAAATTTAGTTCTTAAAATAATCAATTTGTGTTTAAATAGTTCTTACATAGACAGATCGTTAAATTTTGTCATAATGATCACGTATTAATCACGTGATACCGTTTGAAAGAATAACATGTGGTCATTTTCTTCAAAAAACTTAACGCATTGTCTATTAAAGAGCTAAAGTAACACAAATTAAAATTTTAGAGATCAAATTGATAAAATTAATACAATGAGAATAAAAGACCAAACTAATAAAATGAGCATATTTTAGGGATAAAAAATTCTATTAACCCAAAATTTTAAGGGTTTTTTTTTTCAACTAATAATTGAATATGCCCAAGAAGAAGAAGAAGAAGAAGCAGCAGCAGGAGGGAAATGACGAAAATGGGAGCTAATCATAAAAAGGAATAGTATGAAGAACCGTAATTATAATGATAAGGATAAAGGTGAATTTCAAGAGGTCCTTATTGAGTGATTATTGACTCTATCCGCACATTGCGTATAAATGTCATGAGTGAAATGACACCTTACGTTAGCAGTGGCGTATGAATTCTTAGCCACCAAGCAAATTTACGTTAATTTCTGTTTTATAAACATCATCACTTGTCCATTTCCTTTATTTTTTTTTCCATCAACTTCAATTCTAATAAAATAAAATAAAATAAAATAAAAAATGATGATAAACGTGTGTAGTCAAGCGGTGTAGGATTAGATCTGGATAAATTGTAAATTCAGATTTAAGAGATTTGATTTAAGGATAGCTAAAAGTAATTTAAAGTTTAAAGTGACAATATTAAATGAGACATTTTTTTTTATTCTTAATATTAATTTTTTAAATAAATTAATTTATTTTTAATTTATTATGTGAGAGAGACACGTAAGAAGAATATGCTAGTGTTGTCGAGAAAAATATTTTAGCTTTTTTTTTTTTTTTTATGCTGGAAGGAGTTTAATTTGAACTATTATATATATAAGAGGAACTTTTTTTTTCCGTTCTGAACGTTGATAACCTCTCAATCCTTGAATATTTGGTGGTGGAGTCAGTGAGACTCATTAATCCAACGGACCATATTGATTTGTTATAAAAAATTTAGTGTAAATTTTGATAAGTATGATTATAAAATCTCTCCCTAATAAGTCCTCAAATAACAAGCAAAAAATACTGATTTTTTATATATATATATATCAATAAATTCCATTTTTAAGTTCTCGTACCTCCCAAGCACCAGGCCCTAACTTACAGGAAAAAAAAGGCGCGAACTTTAGTCTAAGAAGAAAATGGATCTAGTTTTTTTTTTTTGTTTCTTTCAATGATACGGGGTGTCGGATCAACTTACGCGCACCTAAATTAATCTCTTCCCTGATTCGATCAAAAACAGATCATCCATGCCAAAATTAAGAGACTCAAATAGTTGTTGAGAAATGGCTCTAGTTTTTGTTTTCTCCAAAATGAGATATTTTTTGTTCTTGTCAGCATTTTAATTACACTAAGCACAGCCTATAATTTATAAAATTTCGAACCAGCCCTAAAAAAACAAGATGCCCACTAAATTTGCTGCTAAAATCTTTCAATGTGTGTGTATTGGGAAAAATATTTATTACAACGGTAATATCATATGACAATGTAGATACGGTATCACTAATTAATAATATTAAAATAAATGAGTAAATCGACTCTATCAAAATTAATAATTAACCTTCCATATAAATAAATTAATTACTTAAGTGAGTTTCACCTTACCTACTTATTATTTTATTAATAATTAATGATATCACTTTAACATTATTAACATGATATCACTGTTATATTGAGGACTTCATGTCAAAAGACAACGATAATTCCACTCTTTATGCAATAAGTAGGGTTTTATTTCATAAACACAGTTACACGTGTCCATTCATTTGAAGAATTTTTCCTTTATTTTTTCTGATACCATCTTACCAAACCCAGATATGAGGTTTATGACGATGGAGAGAGAGAGAGTATGTTTCTTATTATCCACATACTATGAACATCAAAGCATTTAATTCCTGGCAACTAACCCTCCTACCGTCTCATCAACTACCTAAGCCAAGTGGACCATATTCTAGAAGTAATTTAGACTATCTAACATTTTAACTATAAATTATGCACCCAATAGCCTATATGTATGCCTAAATTACATCAATCATACACCAATTCAAAACTCTTCCCCAAGGCACCTCCCTATATAAATTAAAAACCATTTAGTCTTTTTTTTTTTTTTCAATGGTTAAAATGTTTGAGTCAATTTATATTCATCTTGATTAATTTTTTTACTAGTCTTATTAAAGGTAGATCATCTATACCAAGATTATATTATTCATGATTCATGAGGGTTAAATCTTTCATTATTTAACTCTAAGAAATTGTTACGATTCAAGTTTCGGACATTTGAATTTATAATTTGTTTCTATTACCACTTAAAATATTCTTATAAGTTTAATCATAATTTGCAAAAAAAAAAAAAAGAAATTATAACCCCCTCTGCAAGAAGTCAAACAACACCGAGATCAACATAGAAGGTTCTGTAGGTTTAGTTTTTTCCAGTCTTTCGTGTCATTTATTTGACTATTCTACCTTAGATCCAGTCTTCCAAACAGACAGACACCGTTCATATAAGATGCACTTGTGATTCTCAATCTTACTCCAAAACAATCCCAAAACCAATACAAAAATTTCCGCTCATACCCATCTCAAAATGTTCAGTCCTTTCATTTGTGGTAGCTTTCAAGATCAAGAAGAAGATTTAGAACCCTATAGCTTTTGGTCATCACCAAAGAAATCAAGCCCATGTTCAACACCCAAAGGTTCAAGAAAAACTGGATTATGCAGTAAAAGTAAAGTCAGCAAGAACCCATATGCAAACCGAGGGCTCGATAAATTCTCTGAACTTTTGGCAGAACTTGAAGACAAAAGACAGAAGATCTACACCCAAAAGGGCTCAGAGAAAATCTCTTTCGTTCGCTTTGTTTACTCAAACTCCAATGATATCAAACCCATCGTTGTGAAGTTGAAAGATAGAAAGCAAGAAAAACCCAAAGATCAGAATCTGAATAATGTTTCAGAGGCCCCAGAAAAGATTCAAGTTGAATCCTCAGAAGCTGTGAGTGAAAGTCAACAACAACCACCCAGAAAGCAATCGGAAGAGAAGATTAAGAAGAAGAAGAAATTTACGTGGAATATTATGAAAATGAAGGATTTGAGACGGCCTTCTTATTACTTGCCAGTGGTTATAATCTTTATTTTGTTGATTTTGGCTGTGTTTGGGCGATCGTTTGCTATATTATGTACTTCTATTGGATGGTACTTGGTCCCTACTGTTCATGGAGCGGGCTCATCAGATTTGAAGAGGCCGAAGAAGAAGAAAGAATATACAAGAAGATTGAGTGAGAGAAAGATTGTGACTACTGATGGATTATCATCTCCTAAAGAAACTTCTCCGACTAGTGTAATCACCGGACCGGGACAACATGGTCATCGGAAAAGCTGGTGAAGATCATCCTGATGTTTTGTTGTGCATCTTCTTTTTTGGTGAATTTTTGGTGTTTGTGTTCATAACAGTGTTAGTTTTTTTGTTTGACAGTTGGGTTGGATTGAAAATTCAATCTCTCCCGGCATGTTCATGAAGTGTAAATTACTCAGTAATCTGGGTTGGAGCCTGGATTAATTGTATTAAGGTTTGTTAAGAGTTGAAGATATGTGAATGAAAATGTCTCGTGATTGTACATTGACTTTGAAACCGTGTGCATCATATTTGGTAAAAATGTTGAAAAATAAAGATGGATATACTAATCTAATTCCCTCACATGATATATAGGATTAGTTAGAAGAAATATGCCATTGCCATGGAAAGATTCAAATTTATGCGAATACTAATCTTTTTATTGGAGGTGTTTGACAATGTGTGAACATTGTTTGTTTTTTTTAGTTTAATAATTATAGGTGTTTGAATCAATTTACGCGCATCTCAGTTAATTTTCTCTCTGATCTTAAGTTTGAATATTCACAATCCCGGCCTTGAGATTTTGCTATAATGAATTTATCTCTCATAAATTTTTTAATTTTAGTGTAAATAACTTGTCTTTTAACTCATACAAGGCGGATTCGCTGCCCAATAATGAGCTAATTTGCTGTTTTTTGGTTTATATTCGTCGGTTGATTACTGTTATAATGAATAATAAAAAAAAATTACAACACCTGAAGAGGGGATATGAAAATCAATCATTGTGTTTTGACAAGCATTCTCCCTTTGATCTTTTGTATGAGAAATTCTTAATCAAGATTAGTAACTAGACTAAATCCAATTGATTTAATTTGCAGGTCGTAGAATCTAGTTTACTTATTTTGCCTCAGTCTAATCACAATTGTTTTTTAAAAAAAAAATTCAATCAAATTCAAACTCGCCGGATGTTAGTTTAAGACACCATAAATCACAGTTTACAATTACTGAGCTCAACTAGTTTGACTTGTCTCAGGTCATCCAACGCAAATATACCAACTCCCAATTCGCCAAGTGATACCCAAGCAGTTTAATTACAATCACGTCAAATCGGATTTAGCTACTAAAAGAAGAGGAAGAGGTCAACAAGCCTATCTTACCTTGGCAGCTAGCTACCGTCTTAAAGAATGTCACTTCACTATTTCTAAAAGCTCACATGTTTTGTGCATATGATTATCTCTAACAACTTAATATTTATCAATAATCTTAACAAATTGATGAGACCACACAATCATTGAAAAAGACTAAAACCTATTTTTGTATAAATAAAAAATAATATCTTATTGAAAAGGGGTTGAACCCTCTATAATCGCTAGTCTATTCTTTCTCGAGCAATACACACAAAAATGAGTCAGAACCTCTGTTAAAATAGATTAGTTAAGTTTTTTAACTAATGAATCACTTTTTGAATTTTTACCCTTTACTGAGTGGTTACCACACTCACTACACACAGACCACCTAACTCAGCTCTCTTCATTTATTTCAATGTTATAAGAACACACCCTACATCTGCCTCCACGCTTGACCCACCAAGTCCTCATAGGTAGCTGCTAATTGAACAGATACATTACTCGTGATGATGCATAAAAGTGAATTTATGTAAGATCAAATCAGTCGCTTGTGTGGTATAAAATGATTAATAATAAGAGACAAATATTAAATGGCTGAGTCTTGGTGACCTAACCGCTGAAGACGACAACGATAATCGGAGAATTCTATTAATGAAAGAGTATAAGGTAATAGGAGAGAGAGTAAGAGTATGCTCAAGGTAAGGTGTGTGAGATCTCTACTCTCATGTGTAGGGGATTTACAAGTTACCAGTATAAAGCCCCAACTGAGGTGGTGATATGAAGGTCAAGTTACTAATTTATCTTGAATGATCGTTACAATTGGGGACATGCACTATATTGGAGTAATGGTTAATCCTGCTGAGTACTCTTCCACGTGCGTTGACTTTCCATGAACTCTTGAACTTTAAATTAGACTAAGGCCATGAGTTATGTCTGACCTGTCTTTTGATGATTTGAGTTTAACCTATGAACTAAGTCCAAACCTGATCTGAATCTGGGCTCCTCAACTTTAAATTGGATTGAGGCTATGAACTATGTCTGACGTGCCTTTTGATGATTTGAACTTTGATGGGCCAGACCCAACCCATGTTATAAGATTGGTCCGAGCTAAAGGCTCAATGTCAAGAAATCCAACTAGTCAAACCCAAAGAAGTCTACACCCGGATAGTCTTATCAAGATCAAGTAGCTGCAGGGGAACATGCATAGTCATCCAAGAGTCTCCTCTACCACCTTGGAGTAAGGGTCATCCAAAGGTCTCCTCTACCACCTTGGAATAAGGGTCATCCAAGAGTATTTACGCCACCAAGGGAGCATCCAGGAGCCTCACCCTTGCAGCCTGAGAGAGTCAACGTCCCTCATCCTTGAACAAGTCCTTTGGAGAGCACACCAACCGTCACACCTCGCCCGTTGAGAAGATGATAGGTCGTCTCTACCAGATCAGCTACCTAATTACTATCAAACGGTCCTAAGCCATTACGACCGTCAGACTAGCCATACAATTACTATATTAAGCCACTATAAATTGTAAACTCTTCCAACACTTGGGGGCATATAACTCATTTGAGCATAATTCTCTCATCCCCTCTCAAAGCTTGTAATCATGTGCTCTCCCTCCACATCGGATATAATAAAAATTTGGCGAACCTAGCCATTCAAAGTGGACGTAGGTCGTATTGACCGAACCACTATAAATCCTGTCTTTTTTCTCCTTCTACTTACTGTATTTTATACTACAACTTGACTAGTGGTATACAAACTAATTTGTGCATCATCAGTTTGGCGCCATCTGTGGGAACGACAGAATTCTCACCTGACCATTTTTCTTTGCTCAATCAAAGTCAATCACCACAAGAACCATGAGTCAGTAGGAAGACAGTCTAAGAGAGGAGGAGGTTGCTCCTCAACCAACCAATCTTGCCCCAAATGAGCAGCAGATGCTCGAGACCATGCAGCAACTTGCGGCCTAGAACCAACAGATCCTACAACTAATGCTCCTTGGGCGTCAAGGAGTTCTTCACATGGGTGCTCCTCATCTAGGAAGAGGAGCACAGTCTAAACCTCAAGTCAAAGGAGCTCCATCCCCTGGGCGTCAAGGAGCTCCCCACATGGGTGCTCCTCATCTAGGAGGAAGAGTACAACCTAGACCTCAAGTCAGAGGAGCTCCATGCCCTGGGTGTGAAGGAGCTCCCCACATGGGTGCTCCTCATCTGAGCGCCCTCTTTGGAGTCCCCTTAGGTGCCCCGCACAGGAGAGCTCCCCACAAGGGACCTCCACCTCCTCTTCCAGCTCCCTATTTTCATGGTGGAGACCCTATTTTCCAAGAGGATGAGGGTGAAAACCAAATCTTGGAGCATGGGAGCTACATCCATGGTAATTCTAAAGGACCTCCTCCTAATCATTGAGACGAAAAAATTAAGGAGGTGCAGAATCAATTGGGTGATGTCTTCAACGCCATGAAGGCACGAGGACCCGAGATAGTGGATTACCTTGTAAGTCAAACCGACACACCTTTCAAACCTAACGTGACGAACTACCCACTCCTTCAAAAATTCAAGATGTCATCCATAAAAATCTTTGATGGTACGAAGGATCCATTGGACCACCTTGAAACTTTTAATACCTTGATGCAACTGCATAACGTCCCTGATGAAATCATGTGCAGAGCGTTCCCAACCACCTTAAACGGATCCACTCGACAGTGGTTCGCCAAGATCACCCCCGCTTCCATCAGCTCATTTGTTAAGCTGAGCAGGTCCTTCGTGTTGCACTTTATTGGAGGACGCCGTCACCAGAAACCTACTACCCACCTGCTCAGCATAAAGTAGGACCGAGATGAGAGTCTGCGAAACTACCTCACTCATTTTAATGAGGAGGTCCTTCAGGTCGAAGAACCCGATGAAAAAGTCAGCAGGATCGCCTTCTTGGGAGGCCTTCGGTCATCGAACTTCCTTTTCTCCGTGATGAAACGCCCACCAAAGAGCATGTCAGAACTATTGGCAAAAGTTCAAAAATTTATGAATGCTGAGGAAATCAACAGGTGCAGGTGAGATGAATCATCTCTCGAGGGTCGCCAAAAAGCTTGGCCTACCTTTACACTATTTTTAAACAAGTAGTCTATCTTTAGCTTAACGGCTCTCTCGAGGGTCGCTAAAAAGCTTGGCCTACCTTTACACTGTTTTTAAACAGGTAGTCTATCTCCAGCTTAACGGCTCTCTCAAGAGTCGCCAAAAAGCTTGCCTACCTCTGCACTGTTCTCAATCAGATAGTCTATCTCCAGCTTAGTGATTCTCTCGTGGGTCACCAAAAAAGCTTGATCTCTGCACTGTTCTCAAACAAGCAGCCTATCTCCCGGCTCTCTCACGAGTCGCCCAAAAAACTTGGCATCTGCTCTGCTCTCAAGCAAGTAGCCTATACCTCAAGCTTAAAAACTTTTTCATGGGTCGCTAAAAACTCGGTCTCAAAAGATGTAGCTCTCTCACGAGCAATCCTCAAGCTCTGTCTTGCTCTCGCGTAAGCAATCTGCCTCTCTCTTCAGGTCATCTACAACCCAAGGGATTACCTTAAATTGAATGTCAACAATTGGGGCCTCATCCATCTAGCACTCAACGCCTGAGACGCCTGGCCAGCGGCGCCAAGAAGTGTCTGACCCCCTCTGTCAGCGCCTGGAGGGGCGCCTAACCCTTTGTGCTCACCCAAAATGGTGCTCTACGGCGCCTGCACACCAAGACCAGCCCTTTTTCCTCCTCCTTGCTCGCTTGGATTAGCGACTAAGGCATACCCATGCTCGCCCAAGATGCCAAGCACAGCAGGTTGCTCACCCAAGCAGGCCTACACAACAGGATGCTCGCCTAGCTGGTTTGCGCATACAATAGCACCAAGGCGCCCATCGGTGCACTCCCCAGAGCTGCTCCACTCACTCGAGG